ATATAACTTTATTATCCTTTTATTAAGGTCATTGTGAATTATATTGTAATGTATCACTGGAGTCAGTAGCCGCTGGCCAGATGTGTTTATCAACCCCCATAAGTATCTTTGAGATATGTTTGTGTGTCAGCGTGCAGCTGTGTGTTTAGGTCTGGAAAACAGTGGGACAGGGTGCGAGGGGGATATGGGGCGCTGTTTGTGAAGTTACACAGTTAAAAATTAACAGCAATATTTTGGTTTATTTAGTCTTTCATAAGGAAAAACTATTTTTTTTCGAAGTCATATTTTCACCATGTCATTCATACATTTATAAATGTTATAGTTCCAAACTAAATATTTAATTTACAAGCTAAATATTTAATTTCTAAGCTAAACATTTAATTCCTAAACTAAATATTTAATTTGCTAACTAAATATTTAGCTCAGAACTAAATATTTAACTTGCTAGCTAGGTCCGAGTTAAATATTTAGTTAGCAAATTAAATATTTACATTGGAAATTAAATGTTTAGCTTGGAAAATAAATATTTAGGTCCAAGCCAAATATTTAGTTAGCAAATTAAATATTTACATTGGAAATTAAATGTTTAGCTTGGAAAATAAATATTTAGGTCCAAGCTAAATATTTAGTTAGCAAATTAAATATTTAGTTTGGAAATTAAATATTTAATTTGGACAATAAATATTTAGTTTGGGAATTAAATGTTTAGTTTGGAAAATAAATTTTTAGCTTGGAATTTAATTATTTAATTTACACCTAAATATTTAGTTTACTAACAAAATATTTGACTTGCAAGTTAAGTGTTTAGTTTGTAAACTAAATATTTAGCTTGCAAATTTAGTTTGGAACTATGACATTTATAAATGTATGAATAACAGTGAAAATATGACTTTGAAAAAGAAAACTATATTTTTTCTTATGAAAGGCTAAATAAACCAAAATACTGCTGTTAATTTTTGACTATAATGTAACTTTGCAAATGGCACCCCATAGAGGTAGGGGGAGGTAGGTAACCAGAACTGGTCAGACAGGACAAGACATGAATAAATTCTGTATTGATTCACAGTGGGTCTGGCTGTTCTCCAAGGCTTTGTAATATATTTGATGACATCTCCTCCTGATTAATTGTGAATCCGTTTTTTTCTACAACAGCTTTTTTCAGCTTTTATTGTTTTGCCACTTTTAGCACTTTACTTCTTGTAACTTTAACATCTCCGTTGCAGCTTCCTCATCAACTTTCAGCGAACCAAAATAGTCCCTGCTCAGCGAAGTTATTGAGCGCTCAGATTGTATTGTCACAGAAAATGCAATTTCTCCAGTATTTTGTTTGTGTTAGAGTTTAAAAGCCCAGAGATTAAAACAACATTAAAAGGAGAGGATAAAAGTTTTAATAATGCAATGAGTCAATTAGGTATTGTGATAAACTTGCACACAGAAAATGCATGAATCTGTTCCATATGACTGAAAAGACCTCTAATAGATCTTCTCTGTTTTTGGTCCAGGAGGTTCAACAGGAACCCAGTGGCCCAGCTGTGGTACTTTGTAAAGTGTATCTACTTCGGCCTCTCTGCCTACCAGATCAAATGTGGCTACCCCAACCGCATCTTGGGCAACTTCCTCACCAAAAACTACAACTACCTGAACCTCTTCCTCTTCCAGGGGTACAAAACACTTTATAAAATCAAACATAAACCTGAATATTGTATAAACCTCTCATTCTTGCCTCTCCTCCTCTTCCAGCTTTCGGATGGTTCCCTTCCTGACAGAGCTGCGGGCCGTGATGGACTGGGTTTGGACTGACACCACGCTGTCTCTCTCCAGCTGGATTTGTGTTGAAGATATTTATGCCAACATTTTTGTCCTCAAGTGCTGGAGAGAGTCCGAAAAGGTAAGTGAGAGTTTTTACTGCTTATGTACAGCACTTTATCATTATTTATTGATTTCAATTTTTTCTTAAACCTAAGTATGCGAAAATCATTAACAGGGCATTAAGCAATAGTTTAAAGGACTCATTAAAAACAGTTTTGCTGGTATTTTACTGGTTTGAAATATTTTTCAGCAGTCAACTGAACTTTTATGGCAACATTCATAACATGTTTTCATTGCGGAAAGGATTTACTCAAATTTTACCATACATATATATATATATATATATATCATCAACATCAACATCTTCGTGTATTTTCTCTTATTTGTGGAAATAAAAGTTAAAGAGTTTTTAGTCTACAAGGTGCAGCAAAAAAAACTACTGTAATTCATTTTTTATACTTCCAGAAATACCCCCACCCTCCGGGGCAGAGGAAGAAGAAGGTGGTGAAATATGGAATGGGAGGGTTCATCATCTTCGCTCTGATCAGCATCATCTGGTTCCCTCTTCTCTTCATGTCGCTGGTCCAGTCAGCGGTTGGAGTGACCAATCAGCCGGTGGAGGTCTCCATCCAGCTCAGCATCGCTGGATATGAGGTCAGAGAGGAATCAACACATTCAGCTTTACTTTCTGTGCTATCATTCTTCATGTTTCACACTACAAATATGGATATGAAGCCTTGTGTTTAATTAATGACTCATTACTAATCTGCATGGTGTGTTTCTGTTCTGTTTTCACAGCCTCTCTTCACAATGAGCGCACAGGAGCAGAACTTGGTTGCGTACACAGAAGCAGGATTCAGCCGACTCACCAAAATTTATGCTACGCATCCAGTAAGATACATTTACTTTACTACAGAATTAAATTAAATCACTTGAACAATGAGCTGACACAATATTCAATCGACCTGTGAATCAAAAGTTAAATATTTATAATAACATCCAGTCAGTCACATCTGTCAGAAACATGTTTGCTTGTTTTATCATATCTATGTTTAACAATAAATAGTTATGACATAGAATAGGCCTGCTGATAATATTATGCATTTATAATTTTCTACAATTGAAGAAGTTAAATCTTCTGATCATTTGAACTGCAAGAAGTTGTAAATGATAATTTGGTAACAGTAACATGACGGACTTCAACAACTGAGGGCATACAATTTTTAAAGAGGAAATTTAAAGTGTGTATTTAAAATATAGAAAAGTTGCAAAACACAAATTTTAAAATCTAAAGATTAGCTAACCCAAGACTCAATGGACAGAAAGAAAAACAAAACAAGTAAATTTAAGTTAAAAAATAAAACAATAGTTAGTATTTATTCTTAAAATAAGTACAAACATGATTAAGACTGAGTAAAATAAGTAGAAAAAGATTGTACTTAAACATAATCTAGTTCAGAGTTGAACTAAAAAGCACAGTCAAGCTAACAGATAAAAGCAATATAAAACTAGCTAAAGTTTGTGTAGTTACTGAAATATGTAATGTACTGATGTACTATATGTACTGTACTGATGTACTATATGTAATGTACCGAAAGTGCGACTGAAAAGGCGGTCCTGAGATTTCCTGTAGAAACATGAACACTCTGAGCCGTCCTCAGGACGTGAACACTCTGAGCCATCCTCAGGACATGAACACTCTGAGCCGTCCTCAGGACATGAACACTCTGAGCCATCCTCAGGACGTGAACACTCTGAGCCGTCCTCAGGACATGAATACTCTGAGCCATCCT